TGCAGCCGCGCCGGGGTTCCCATGGAGACGCCCTGCGTCCTCTGATGAGTGCCCTCTTATCGGCGACAGTTGCCATCGCGATTGGTGCCGCCCTCCTCGCAGCGCTCCCGAGCTCGGTCGCTTTGCGGGCGACTGTCCCCTCCTGCACACCCCGCACGCACCGCTGGCTAACGGGGGGCGCAGATTGCTGGGAGAAGATCCAAAGCAGTGAGTGAGGGATCTCTAATCTCGACCTGTCATCTGCTGCCATGGACCGAAGGTGCCGTCTCGTGCTTCACTCCATTGTAATGTACCTCTTAAAACCTTTCTTACATCTAACTGAGCTGTTTTCCTGTGCTGTATTTCAGTGTTAGTGAATTCTCTGTTCTTTCCCCCTGTGCCTGGAATTGCTGTCTGAAGGGGTTTGCTCAGATAAGGGGTTTTGGAATGGGAAGTTTGCAGTCAAAGTGGCTGTTCTCTCAAAATCACTTGATGCAAGTGTTCATGCTGCAGAGGTAGAAGCTGCAGCAGGCAACAGGCATGAATGGAGAAATTAGAAAATAGTACTTTTTCATGGAAATGGCTGCAGATGGAGCCCATATTCAGCAAGAGTATAGAGAAAGCAAGGAGAATTAAAGGTATATCCCATCAAATGAGGTTGCTTCAGTGAGCTAGCACAAATAGAGGTTGTTTTTTGGGTAGCAAAATATTATCAGAAATGTACTGACAACTCATGGGACTTCAGTGTAGGGTTTGTATTTGTATTCAGTGAAGGTTGTACTGGCTCTTCCTTCAGGCAGTGCTGCTAGATGTAACTCAATTAATTTGAAGACACGGGATACTGGTTTGTTGGTTTGTGTATAATGCTTGCTCTTGTGCTTAAGTGCTGAAAACTCCTTTCATGTAATTGCTTCTTCATTTTCTTAAATGCCTTTTGCTATTCATTAAATTTTAATAAAGACTTGAGTCTCTTGGAATGTATTTTTAATCAAATTGATTTATGTCCATCTGGCTAAAAAGATAAAGGTACTCATACACCACCTCAGTGTAGATCCCTTGGCTTATGCAGTTGCCTGAAGTATGAAACACTGAAGATCTCCAGGTAGTTTAATAGTGCTGAAACAGGACTTCAGGAGATTTTCCTGCACCTGATAAGGAATCAAAACAAAATCCCTAATGCTGGGAAGTCAGTGCACACATGTGCTTAGAGAAGGTGGCACGAGTTCAGTCAGTTCCGTGGGTTTCCAGGGGTGGGTGTTCCCTTTGTGTGATGTTCAGGGAGAATTGTCTGTCTGTAGTTATCCTGTAGAGACTGCTCACAGCCCTCTGGTAGTTTCAGCCTGATCTGGTCAGGATTGGGGAATTTTCCACAGAAGAGGCAAAGGAGCCTTCCCATGGAGCCTGTCTTTCAGAAAGCAGGGGTAGCTGACTTATTCCCAACTCCATATCCCTGCCTGGAACTGCCACATCTGTGAGTCTTCCATAATAACACTTCAGTAGCCTGACTGACTTTAACCAATCTGGCAGAAGATCAGAGAAATTTTTTTTGTGAGTTTATTCGAGATTGGTGGTTAGGATCACCAGACCTCAAAGCCCTCATTCCTTCAGGCACAGGAGGAGAGTTCAGGCTCCCACCCCCTGCAATCAGGGGGCAGCTAATCATCACCCATTTGTATCCAGCTAACCAGCACTTGCACTGGTTCAGGAAAGGAGGGAGGGGAGTATTCAGGTTTTTTTCTTCTAAAAGAAATAATGGTTTGTATTCTATCAATGATCTGTGCCATTTATTTCATCTCCATTTGTTATTTGTTCCACTAGGGAAAACTGGATTCACACTTTGCAGTCAGTGATTTCAATGAGCTGGTAAATTAAATGAGTGTCCCAGGCAGAATTGGGAATGTTTGTTATGTAACTTGAGAATTTTTGCATAGTGCTTCATCTTCAGCCTTGTATTAAACTTGATTCGAAATCAACTTGTGTTTTTAATACAAAATGCAAATAAGCCACGTTAAGTTTCCAGATACGAAGGAAAAATAAGAAGTTCATATCATTTCCACAAAAAGCATGAGCAGAAAGAGAAGTAGCAAGTTGTCTGTATAGGCTGTGCTGATTTCTGTCTATTTTAAATTTGTGTCAGGGACACACATAATGGATCTGGGATATGCCCTAAACTCAGTCTCCATAGAAAATCTCACTGGTTAAGAAGTGAGGTCACCAAAGACTACAAACAAATGTACTCTGGGAGGGTTGGCATTCCATTTGTCGTACACTCAGCATTCAGTTGGGAAAATGAAAATTTGGGCAAAGCATTCCTGTTATTTATTTTTTGTTCTTTATTGCTTCCCATCTCCTGCCTTTCACACGTGTTTGCCCTTCCACTTTCCAGACTCCCAAGTGTTCTGGTTCCCAGCTGAGCAGCTCTGTGCAGAACAGCCATTTTGAGCTACACACTCACCATCTATTGTTTTCCTCCAGAGGGATCCCTGAATACATTGCACAGGTCCAGTGCCACATTCGAAACTGTTATGTTGAATTTGCAACTATTTGTTGAAAGAAAATGTAATCTAAAGCCAGGAACCAAGAAAGTTACTGTTGTATGCTCATAGTAACAAATGAGCTGTTTTGGTTTTGTTTTCAGGAACAGTTGCAGTATTTACTCAGCTGTTTCTTAAGGAAACTAATGAGTTTACCCAGTGGCCTGCTGTCAATCTAATAATAATTCCTGTTGTCCGCTTTTGTCTTCTTTTCCTCCCATTTATTTTATTCACGATCCAGTATGTTGTGCCTTAAAGCAAGAAAGTCTTCATTTTTTTAAGGCTGCAAGGCAAAACTGTGGATTGTAACACAATGAAATGCTAGGTAGGAAAAGCTGTGCAGGTGAAAATCACTGCCTTCCTGGGCTCATTTGGTGCGGTTTGCATTTGCAGGTTAAGATTCGGAAATGAATGGTTTAACTGAAGGAAAAGTGAAGGTAGCAGGTGAGCCTGGGGCAGATTTCTGGCAGGTGTTGGTAGATGTTGGTGTGTTGTTTGAAGTGCCCGCTAGCACAGCTGGTACCCAGCTCTGTTTACTCTCGCTGGCGTTCATCTGCTCGTTCCCAGGTTCCTTGCCCAGCAAGCTGCCCATGGACACTCGGAATGCTCCTCACCGTGCTGGGGGGCTCTGGCCCTGGGGCTGCAGCACAAAAACGTGATCAGCAGTGCTGGGCAAGGCCTCCTGAGTGACGGGGGGGACTCGAGAGAGTCCTCAGCCCTGGTACTTGTGCAGGTCCAAGCTGGTGCTGCTGCTTCCCCCCGAGCTCGGACCGGTGCCTGCCCGTGTCCCCTCGGAGGAGAGCAGGAGTCGGCCGCAGCTCAGTTGGGTGCAGTAGGGGGTTAATGAACACTCAGCCTGTGAGGGAAAAGGCAGACTGTCCCATTCTCATGTAAATTAATTTGCCGGAGCCGCAGGCAGTGCTTGGCTGTCACAGATCACAAGCACAGAGAATGCCAAGGCTGAAGCTGGCCGCGGTATTTTCAGTGTTTCTGTGAGGAACTACTGCCCGCACTTTACCACTGCCTTTAGCCCCGTGTTCTCCGTGCCAATCTGCTGTCCTGCCCTTCAGCCCAGTCCAGCAGCTGTGGTCTTGCAGCACAGGACCCCCAGGGACGCTGCTGTCCCCCCTGGGGGCCAGCGCAGAGGCCAAGCTGCTGCAGCTGCTGCCGGGGCTCGGCTCCAGAGCGGGGAGCTCCGGGCAGGGAGGATGGGTTCCCCTGGGCTCCCTGTCCTCTGCAGCCCCTGGGGCAGCACAGCAGGCACGGGAGGCTGGATTGGTTTGTTGTCGAGCTGCAGGAGCCTTATGCTCACAAGCCACCACTTGTTCTTTGGATCAGCTCCCTCAGTAATTCCGGGAGATGGCTGAGGAGTGGTTTTGACAAGATGCCACTGATTGCTTTCTCTCCATCTAAAATGGTTTGGGCTTTGAGCCTCCCTTGGGTTTTACTTTGTGCTGAGATGTTTGTAACCTTCCCTGCTGGTAGCTGAGAGCAAGTGTTATTTCTGTCTAGATAGCCCATCGAAGATGTAGGTGAGGAAGAGGTGCTTTCCCCCTCTGCCTTGGAATCGAATGTCTCTGTCACAGGTAAGATCTGCACAGGTTTTATTTGCTGGGGTGAAGAGAATGCAGGGAAGGTTTCCTTGCTCCTGCTGCCTCTGGGAAGGCTCTGCACAGATGGTGTGAGAAGAGTCATTTCAATGACGTACCCCTGCCTTTATTGAACAAGTGCCCCACCCCGCAGCAATCACAGGCACTGTTTGTGTAGTGGGAAATGGCCCTTCCCGAGGAGACAGAAGGCTTTAACACTGTCACGGTTGTGTTCAAAGACGTGTTGTTATCCAGATGCAAACTGCTGACTTGCCCGGGCGTGTTTCCCTGGGTTACTCTGTCATCTCCTCCAGCCAAATCTCTCCTGTAATCTCCTGTAACACTGGCAAGCCATTAACAATAATGCATAACCACAGGGTAAAGAGCTTACCAAGAGAACTTTCTTATTAGAATATACTAGAATTCATTATGTATACCATGCGTGACAAAATATGTTGTTCTTAAAAATTAGTTGACTAAAGTGAAGTGCTGCGGTTGACTTTTAAGGAGATCCAAATGGCCCAGCCACCAAAGGTATGTAGCAGTAACCCAGTAAAAAATTAAAGCAAAACCAAGAATGGGCTGCTAGTACTTGGATTTGGTTGATAAAAATAGCTTGTAAACATTAAAAGTGCTTACATCCATAAATCTTTTACTATTCAGTAAACAACAGTGTATCTCCATTTTTTTTTTTCTCAAGACCAGGGCATTTCTCTAAGGAAATGGATACATCTTCCCAAAAATACCCAGTCAAAAAGCGAGTGAAAATTCATCCCAACACAGTAACAGTGAAATACACCTCTCATTATCCCCAGCCAGGAGAAGAGGGATGTGAGGATGTTAATGAAGATACTGGAGTATTTATGGAGGATAATCCTAAGAGAAGATTGCTGAGTGATGGGAAAAAGAGAGAAAACACTTTTTTTGGTACAATAGACACCAAGCCAGCACAACTGCCAAAACCTGATGAGGCTGGAGAATCCCAGCAGTTTCCTGAAGGAAATGTACTGCAGTCCAGGAAAACGTGGGCAGTCCTTTTTGGGTCTGCCGTGGCTCATGGCTGTGTGGCTCTGATCACAAGGTTAATTTCTGACCGTTCCAAGGTGCCATCTCTGGAGCTGATTTTCATCCGCTCGGTGCTGCAGGTGCTGTCCCTCATTGCTGTGTGCTACCACCACGAGCCTCCCTTCGGCCCCAAAGGCTACAGGCTCCGGCTCTTCCTCTATGGGGTCTGCAACGTCATCTCCATCACCTGTGCCTACACCTCCTTCTCCATAGTGCCCCCCAGCAATGGGACCATCATGTGGAGGGCCACCACCACGGTGTTCAGTGCCATTCTGGCTTTTCTACTCATAGATGAAGGAATGGCTTATATAGACGTGCTCACTGTCATGGGCAGTGTGTGCGGGGTGTGTCTGGTCATGATCCCCAACATTGTTAAGGAGGAAAACTCTTTGCTGAGCACCTGGAAAGAAGCTTTTGGCTATACCATGACTGTCATGGCTGGTCTGACCACTGCCCTCTCCATGATAATCTACAGGTCCATCAAAGACAACATCAGCATGTGGACAGCGCTGTTCACTTTCAGCTGGACGGGAACAGTGTGGGGAGTGTCCACCATGTTCCTGCTCCAGGAGCCAATCGTCCCACTGGATGGGGAAACCTGGAGCTATCTCCTTGCCATCTGCCTGTGCTCCACTGCAGCCTTCCTGGGCGTCTACCATGCCCTGGGCAAGTTCCACCCCGCTCTGGTGAGCACTGTGCAGCACCTGGAGATCGTCATTGCCATGGTCCTGCAGCTGCTCGTGCTGCACAGCTTCCCAGGTACTTGTGATCTAGTCGGGGCAATGCTTATTTTGGTGAGTGTTTTTTTCCTTGCGTGTTATAAGCTTTCCTGGAAGGAATTAAGGCGGCAAGATTATCAGGAGATTGTGGATTTGCCCAGTAAATGAATGTCTGTTTTCAATGTCTCATTCTGGCTGTGACCATGTGGAAGTGACTCCTTTCAATTCCTGTGTCCAAGCCTGGTGGCCAGGCCCTCTCTCTACCATTTCACTTCTCAGCTGATGTAGCAATGTTGGTATTTCCAGGCTCCTGTGCTAGGTGGATTTGTTCTGCTGCACACAACCATTCTGTCATACCCAGAAGAGTAGCACAGCCAGCACAGGCTGGCCCACTGAAATGTGGGCCAAGCTCTTCTTGACCTTCTTTGGATAAAGCAATACAGAGGGACTCAAAAGTGACTCTCATTCATGCGTGCTGTGGTAGCAGGAAGATGAGCAGCAAAACCATTAAAACAGTCAAACCAAATTGTCATTTACTCTGTAATGCTTCTTAAGCTTTGGCTGTCATATTCTAAATGGAGCAATGCTGAATTTTTGTGGCTAAAACTTGCATTTCCTGTGTGTATAAAGAAGTCAGTAAAGCTTTTTGTGCTTTGTGGCTACATTTCTGGCTGAAACAATTCAGGAAGCCCTCATGTCCCGTGGGGGAAAGTGAGCCTCAAAAGCTGAATTTCCAGTTGTGTCACAGCTGTGACAGGTCCCCAGGAACTGTAAGGTCCACAACAGATTAAAGATTTAGCCCTGAAGCAGACCAAAATCCCTTCTATGGAACCATATTTTCTAAAGGAGGTTTTGAGTATTATCCGAGGGTGTATAAAAAATGGAGAAATAAAAGAATGCATTTGAGATGGAGATGTGAGCAGCATGGTAGTAATGACCAGTCTGGAAGCATCAGTGACAGCCACTTAGGGTGCTTGGGTCCAAAAACTTCAGGAAGACATCAGATTCACCAAGAGCCCCAGGGTTCTATGAGCCCCAATATTATTCCTGGCCATTCTAATGTGTGGCTCTAAAGAGAAAGGCCAGCACCTGTGTCCATGGGCTCTGTGCCAACCAGGCCCTGCAGGCACCTCCCACTCCAGCTGCTTATGCCTCTGTTCTGTCCCATGAGCATTTTCTTAGGGAAAAGGCACCACTCAGGTGGCTCCAGCCAGTCCAGCTTCCCCCACAGAAAATACATTTTACTTGTGAAAAGAAGCAGCAATTACTTTTATTCCTATGAATACTTAGGGAGATCAAGTTCCCTGACATCAGCCAGCCCGGATGGCAACGCTCCTGATTCATGTGACACTTGTGTCCTCCAGTGCTGGTGATGCCAGGGACCCCCTGGGCCATGCAGGCGTCCCTCAGGTGCTGCCACAGTCACAGCTGTCCCAAGAACCGTTTCCTTGAGGAGCAGGTAGAGCTGGCAACAGGAGCTCTGCACCTTGTAGGAAGGACAGAAGAAAAGGGGAGCAGGTAAAACAAAGCAGTGCTGGGAAAGCTCTGCCCAGCCAGAAATCCCTTTGACAGCTTAGGGCAGAGCAGTTCCCAGCCCAGAATCCTGCTGTGCTTCTATCAACTCCTCATTTCACTCTGGGGCAGACGGTCTTTCTTCCTCTGGCTGCTCAGACAGCAGGAAAGCTTCCTTTGTGGAAAGCAACCAGGTCATGAGGCTCCTCCATCCATGACTTCCACGCCTGTCCCTCTGCAGGGACTCAAGCTCTGAGGCTCAGCTGTGCCAACACACACATGTGCAGGCACCCAGCTAGGTACATCTGGCCAACCAGGGGTACTGGACAACAGGACTCTGCAAAATCCTCCACTGTGCAGCAGGGCTGAGTCTTGCCCCAGCCCCAAAGCAGCCAAGGCCCCTCCTCAGAAGCTCCCCCTGCCACCCCTGAGGCTGGCACAAGCAGCTCACACCCAGGGGCCCACCCCAAGAACCTGAGTGGTGTCTCTGAAGCAATTCAGGGCTCTATGGGGCTTGGTCCCGCTCCAGCTGCTCCACAGCCTGCACGAGGTCCTGCACAGCCCTGTCCACGTCTGCCCGGGTGGTGCCGCGCCCCACGCTCAGCCGCAGCGCGTTCTGCGCCACCTCGGGGGGAACCCCACAGCTCAGCAGCACTGGGGAGGGCCTGCAACACAGCCAGGGCCAGCAGGTTGGACTGGAAGGCTGAGGATGCCCCACACATCAGCAGGGAGCCTCACCCAGGCACAGAAGCAATCACATTTGCAGACATGCTCCAGGTAGCTGTCCCTGCACAGTCCCCTGTTTGCTTTCCAGGGGCACCCAATCCCACCAGGATTGTTGCCCTAAGGGGGGTCTGGCTCTTCTAAGAAGAGCCTGTTCCAGGTCCCTGTGGGTTAGCAGCTCTGCCACATCCAGAGGGCATTGCTCTAGACCAAAAGCACCCACAGTCCCCATATCCCCTAAAGGAGCCATCTAGACACCCAAGCAGGGCTGGAGCAGGTGAGCCAGGCACACAAAGACACAAGGCAGGCTCTCTTCTGGTAGTGCCAGGAGTTTAAAAGCTGGATAACTGAAGCTGGGAGAGACAAACTCCTTCCAAGCAGCAATCCAGCATTCCAGCAGTGTCTCCTGCAAGAATCCCTTTCACAGCCCTTCAACTCCTCTGGAAGGAGGAGCTCTGTACCCTATTTATTCCAGGTGATGCTGCCCAAGCCACCCACTGTCCCTTTCCCTGTCCTGTTTCCATCCCTCCCAAGTCCTGTCCTCTGGGAAGACACCCAGGAGCTAGAAAAGCCGTGTGCTCACCGATCCCCCTTGTCAGAGTGGCAGGCAGCCCCGACGCTGGCGAGGAGCACCTTGCAGTGAGCCAGCACCCTCCGTCCTGCAGCACAACACAAGCACAGCTCTCCCAGTGCCAAGGCTCCCTCCAGGGCTACTCCTGCCTCACCTCCCTGCCTGAGCCACGCCAAGTGCCCCCCAGCCTCAGCCACAGGTGTGTGAGGGGCAGGTGCTTGGCTCTGTGTAACAATCATGGGACAGCAGCAGGGTAAGAGCTACCTTGAAGGCCTGGGCCCAGGATGGAGAAATTACAGGTGTTGCAGAGTCGCTTGGAGCCCTTAAAGTGACTGTTGAAGCGAATTCTCTGCTTCCCAAAGGAGACCTGGAGAAATCAGAGGGCTGTAAACCTCTCTGGGTTTCCAAGCAGCTCTGTCCTTATGAGGAGGTGGGCAGGGACAGAGGGACATATCCACCCTGCCCCAGGCCCCACACCCTGCAGCCTGAGACTGTGGGGAGGGACCAGATGTGCTCACCTCCAGCGTGGCCTCCAGGTAATCCCGGACATCCCGCATATGAGCCTCATAGGCCTCCCAGTTCTTGTTCACTAACTCTGCAGCCTGAGAACACACAGACAGGTTCCACCAGTGACCTTTGGACACCTCCCCTGTGCATGGTCCCTGGGATGTGAGCCCAGCCTGGAACAGCCTCTGCAGTGCCAGGTCCCCTGTGCCCCCTCTCAGTGCCCTGTGCCCTGTGAGCTGGGTGACTGTCAGGGCTGCAAACCCTCAGCAAGCATGCCAAAGCCACCTCCTTCAACTGACACCAGAAAGCCCCACCACCTTTCCCAGCTCACCCTCCCTCCCACATACTCCAAGTTTGTCCCTTCTGATGACCAGGGAACACAAGTGGCTGTCTCTGTGCTGACTCTGCACCACTCACCCTTGACCATCCCAACTGACCTGGCCAAGGCCGGCAATCATCGGGGTGTTCTCAGTGCTGGAAGGGAACAGAGACCAGTGAGTTATTTCTCCTGAACAGAAACTCAACCCTGAGACACAGACCGCCTCATGGGACCCCTCATTACTGGAAAGGGCTCCTGGGCACCTCTCTGAGGTGGTTCAGAAAAAGGCAGTTCCACCCAGTTACACCCTTGGCAAAGCCTGAGCCCCAGGGAGTTTCCATGCATGGATCCATTTCCCTGCTGTGCTGGGTTGCTTGCCTCAGGGCTGGCAGATGACACAGCTGCCAGCTCAGCTCAGACAAGGCAGCCCATGGGGCCTGGCCACCAGCCAGGGGCCCAGCTCTCCAGGTAACCACATGGCCCCTTACCCTGGCCGGAAACTCCTCTCCTGTCCCCCTCCAAAGAGCATGGGGTGCAGCGGGGTGGCGGTGCCGGGGCTGCGGATGTACAGCGCTCCGATCCGTGGGCCATGGAACTGTGGGGACAGCCACGGTCACCCTGGGGACACTGACAGTGCTTCCTGCCATCCTGCCCAAATCTGAGCACCCTCCAGTGCTGGCCCCTGCCCACTGCACAGGCACAAGGCGTTACAGAGCTGCTCCCCATGCTCAGCCTCCTGCACCCCAGCCCAGACAGGTTCCACAGGAGTGAAGTCTGTCTGCAGAGCACCACCCAGCAGGAGAACTTTGGTGAGGTACTAAGCTGCGTGGGGCACCCAAAGTCCCCCTGGCAGCCCAACAGAGCTGTCACACAGGATCAGCAGCTGGGCCACAGGAGCAGGGCCACACCTTGTGTCCCACGATGGTCAGGTAGTCCACGCCCAGCTCCTGCACGTCCACGCGCCCCTTGCCAATCATCTGTGCTGCATCCGTGTGCACCAGGATCCGGGGCAGCCCCTGCGCCGCTCGGCGCCGGTTGAGGGCACAGACGCGCTGGCTCAGCTCTGCGACGGGCTGATGGCAGGGATGAGGGGCTGCATCCCTTCTGCTCCCCTCTGTCACCTCCTCTTTGTGAGGTATCTCTGCCCCATCCCCTCTCTGCCCACACTCACCATGATCACCCCGGTCTCGTTATTGGCCAGCATGAGGGACACCAGGCAGGTGTTTGGCTGGATGGCAGCCAGGACGTCGTCCACCTCTGCCTGCCCGCTCCGTGGGGACACAGGCACAAAGGTGGCTTCTGCAGGCCAGGAGACAAGCCCTGAGGCTGGCTGGGTAGGCTGTCAGCGCTCAGGGCTGCATGTGCCCCACTGAGCAGGGCAGGAGTGTGTGGGCAGCATAGGCACAGAGCAGGGAGGTGACACATCCAGCCCAGGGCAACATGAGCAACCACAGGGGGAAATGGTGCCCTTCTCCAGGGGGAGAAAGTGGAACATCACAGAGCATGCAGGATCTTGCCCTCCTCTGAGAACACCAGCAGAGACAAGTCCCCCATTCAAACCTCATCTGTGCCAGTGCCACTTACCTGCCAGGCCCTCCTTCCCCAGCTGCTCCAGCGGCAGGCGGATGGAGTCGTGCTCCACGCTCGATGTCACAATGTGTGGTATGCCCTGGCTGTTCCCTGTCCCACGCTGGCTGTCATGGAAGTGCCTGCAGGCAGTGTGGATCACCATGTTGTTTGCCTGAAGGAGGGAAGGAAGGGAAAATGGAAGCTCAGAAAGGGCACAGTGCCCTTCATCCCTACTCTCCTCATTGCTGCTCGCTGGAGAGGAGGTGGTGGGTAGGCATTCCCAGGAAGGGGGTTCCCCTGCTCCCACCTCTGTGCCCCCTGAGGTGAAGACGATGTCCTCGGGGCGGCCTCCCAGCATGTTGGCCAGGCTCTGCCGTGCGCTGCCGATGAGCTCCTTGGCCTTGCTGCCTGCAGGACCAGACCTAGCAGCTCCCGTGGGCTCCTGTCACCACAGGGGCCAGCCCGAGGAGGGAACATGGCCCATCCTGGTCCCTACCTGCAGGGTGGGAGCTGCTGGGGTTGCCCCAGGCCTGGCACATGGCATCCCATACGGCCTGGGACACCTCGGGGGCCAGAGGGGTGGTGGCATTGTAGTCCAGGTAGATCCTCCTGTAGGGGCAGGGGCAGATTAGGGTGCTGGGGGGCACAGGGGGAGCACGGGTCAGGGCAGGGCCTCACCCCTCCAATGAGTCACACTGCGCCTCCGCCGGCTCTGTCCCCGCGCCCATCACCGCTGTCACTGTGTCACTGTCAGTGTCACCGTCTGGCTGCCGTCACCAACCTGGCATCGAGGGTTACAGACACGGGGGACCTGCCCTGCCTGGGGCACCACAACACCCATCATCCTCCCTCTCGCCTGCCCCATAGCCAAGGCACCCACCAATCAGCTCCCTCCTGCCTGCCCCACAGCCAAGGCACCCACCAATCAGCTCACTGGCCGGGGCCCCCTCAGGGCACTGACCAATCAGTTGCCCCGCAGGAAGGGCTCCGTTACGGCGCTCCCCCGGCCGCGCCGCCCAATCCGCTGCCGCCCGCCCATTGGCGGGGCCCCGCGAGCGCACGCGGCTCCCGTTGCCCGCTGCGGGCGGTGCGCGAGCCCCTCGTCCCCCTTTCTACCCCCCCCGCACCGCGGCGAGTGTCACTCACACGCTGCTCACGCGCCGCCCGAGACGGAATGGGCGTGGCCCGCGAGCAGGGCGCATCCGGAGAGCGGGGGTGGGCGGTACTTCCGGGACGGACGCAAGGCCAGGGAGGGGCGGTGTTTCCCCTCGTCAAGATGGCGGCGGCACCGTCGGTGCGGTTTCCGCGCCGCGCCCCGCGCAGGCTCCGCGCCGCGCTCCGCGCGATGCCGGTGAGTGCTGGGCGGGGGGCGCCGGGGCGAGAGGCGACGACCTGCGCGCGGGGCTGGGGCGGGCGGCGCCCGGGGCCCGCCGCGCCGTGACTCAGCGCCGCACGGCGGAGGCGGCCCCGCGTGCCGCGGCCGGTGCGGGGCCGAGCCGCGGGAGCTGCCCGGGGATGCGCCCGAGGCGGCCGTGCCTCGCGGCTGCGCGCCCCGGGGGGGTTGCGGCGGTGCTGGCCGCGCTCAGGGCCGGGGGGGAGCGGGCGGTTCGGGCGCTGTGGCGGGGTCAGGCGGGCGGAGCCGGGGCAGGGCACGGCCGGGCTGGCGCTGCGGCCCCGGCCTGCCTGCCTCGCTGTAATTGCCAAGGCGAAGTGCAAAACTCAATTAAAGCCGAATTCCCGCACGCAGACGCGCCGTATTAGGCTCTGGGAGCCGCTCCGAGGAGCGATAGGCTCGCGGAACAGGGGCTGGGATGGGCAGGGCTAACGCAGCCGTCCAACAGCGGCGGAGCGCCGCAAAGCCCCGCGTCCCATTGGCCTCAGCGCGGCTTACATCGGCTTGTTTCTGCTGCGTGGAAAAAACTGCCTCGTTTGACACATTCCTCTTTTTTCCTCCCGTCTTTCAGATTATGTCGTAACTACAGAACTACCGAGCAGTGATGGAATCACTGGACACCGAGGTGAGGGCACGGAAGACCCTGGGGACTGTGGAGTACGTGGAGTCGTCGGGCTTTGCGCAGGGGGTGCTGCCCACCAAGAAGGATGTGGTGCAGAACATGCTGTACCTGCTGCAGCCCAAGAGGGCCGGCCAGGCCCAGCGCTCCAAGGAGGACGCGGCCCAGCTGCTCGCAGAGCACCTGCAGGAGCACTGGCTGGTCTGCAACCTGCACACCATCGCCACGCAGAACATAAAGAAACTCATCCTCAAAATGTACGAGGAGTTCACCCGATTGTACCAGACCAGGAAGCAGAGACAGAACCAGGCTTTTTCCGAGCGAGCCGACAGATTCAACGAGAGTTCGGAGAAGCTCTTTGACGTGTTTTGTACAGACACACAGTTGAGGGATAAACTGGAGGAGTACAGTGGGATAAAAATGACCAGCATCGAGTGGAAGTTTCTGGAAGATCAGAGGAACGAGAGAAAGATGTACTACGAAGATTTCACAGAGAAGCAGGAGCTGAAGATGATGGAGAGAAGGCAGAAGATACAGTGTCTGGAGCACTTCAGGAAGCTCGCCAGGGAAGAGAAGGAGAGCAGCAAGGCAAAGGAGATGAAGTACAAGGGCGAGGAGCAGTCGGATGAGGGCACAAGCGTGGACGAGCTGTACCCTGTGGAGGAGGAGAACGGCGGCGCCCCGGCCTTCTCGCTGCGGGGCCGGCGGAAGCGCCGCTGCACCGCCACTGCCGCCGGCACTGACCTGCCCCTGGAGGGCGAGCACATACGGATGAGCATCCGCAGGGTCAGGCCTGGCTTCTACGAGACTGTGGAAAAGGTGAAAAACTGCTAGCGCCCGCCGCTGAGAGCGGGCAGAGCTGCTGGAGTACAAGGTGGCAATGCACACGTTAGGCAAGTTTGAAATCCCACCATTCATTGGAAGTGATTGTTGTAGATCCTCAAGCCAGAGCTCAGGAACATGCTGCCTCCAGGGAAGAGGGCTGGGATGGTGACAATGACAGCAAGGACTAAACCATATGGATTTGGAAGGATGAGCTGTCAGCAGCCAGCGATGCCAAGGCTCAGATGCAGAGGATGATCCAAGGTTACGTAGCACGTAAGCCTCTTCTTCCAAGGTCCTGTCTGCATCCGTGGGGTTTGGAAGTCTCTCAACATTTCTGAGCCAGCGGTGGCCTAACAGCGTGAATCAGGACACGGATTTACTGCAGGGTGGTAACTTGGACTTGTTGCTGACAGAAAATCCCTGTGCTGAAGAGCCCTGGCTGCAGTGGGGGTGAAAGATGCTTGGCTTCCTGCAGGAGCTGGCGTTTCTGCCAGGAAGGAAGTGGGTTTGCAGTGTGTGTCACCAGCCCCGGAGAGGCATGCTGTGCTTTTGGAAAGGGACTGCTCTCCTGCTTGAGGAGCAGGCAGAGAGCAGAAGACAGTGGAGTGCTTTGGCTGTTAAAGCATTGGTGATTCTGAATGTTTTATTCTAGATTCTATTTTACCAACGTTTCCTTGATCAGGATAAACCTTCCCGTAACTGGATGAGTTTCATCATGAAGTCCCTAATCTAGGATCTGGGGTGTGAATCCTAAATGAAGTGGTAATGTTTTATCTTTGGGGGGAGGGGGTTAACATAGGAGAAAATGCAAATTGCATTATTTAGTTTTAAGATGAGAGTAATTTTATAAACTGTTATACTGCCTTTATAGGACATAGGGAAGAATAAGCCTTCCCAGGTGTAGCTGTGGTGTTCACAGCAGCAGGCACCGACATCTGGGCTTGCTCTTCCACCCCCGAGGTGGTGTCTGTAGACCAGCAGGGGGGAAATGGTAGTTTTCCACCCAGAGGTTGTTTGAACAAAGCGTGACCCTCTTGCCCACGTACATCCTGAGCAGTGACTATCTGTGACATTTTAGTTAAGAGTTGCTTTACTGGTTTTTAAATGTGAGAGACTTGAACTTCCAGTGAAACCCAGTGCTGGAGATCTCTCTGGCGAGATGCCCAAACCTTGCCAGACCACACTGAAAATGGAAAACCCCCAAGTCTCTATTTGTCCACAAAAGATCTGTGGTAGAAAGAGCGCAAACTTGCCTGGTTTTAAAATTTACCTTCCAGTGTGAATGTTGGTTTCCCCACTCCAGTATCTCAGCTTTTCCCCGTTTCTTTCCTCTCCGTCCTGCACATCATTTACTGATGTTAACTCGTGCTCTTTCATTCTTTGGCTTTTGCTCCCTTTAACAATAAATGCATGTACGAATAATTTTGACAGTTCATTTACTTTTGATGAATCAGTCCTCGGACTGCTTTGAAGTCCTGTGCCAAAGGAGGAATGAAACACGGAGCAGCTGCTGGTTCCCTGGGACACGGCGGCCTGACCAGGCTGCCCAGGCAGGCTCCAGCCTCGGCCACCTGGCACAGATCTGTCTGGCTGTGAGCTGTGTGTCCCTTCTCAGGGACCGTGCTCCTTACAAGGGTCCTTGCTCTGTGTCTCTGACAAGCTCTCCATGGTAACTCGCTCCAAAGTATTTAGTGCCCGCCACGTGCTCTGCACCACTCGTAGTTTCACAGGTTTGGTAGCAGCACCCTTGAGCCTCCGCTGCCTGAGGCTTCGCAGCCTCCCTCCATCTCCTCTCTCTGACATGCTTCACTGACCTCCCCATGCAAATTATGTCACGTTTAAACTATTTGCCTTCCAGCCCAGAGGTGCTGGATTGAGCCTCTCACTGGGTCTCTACACCAGCAGCTCTGTTTCAGCAGGGAATATAGCCAAGCTCGGACCTCGCCAAAGTAGGAGTTTTTTAATAACTGCTGTAAGTCCCCTTTTTATTACAGATATAGCTGACAGTATAAATGCTTGTGTGTAAAGCAAATCCATTTGGGTTGGCTCGGATATGGAACACAGCTGTATAGTGCTTTATGATTTTCAGGGATTCAGGGAAATTAAGGTTGTCAAATTTGACTTCCTGTCTACCACAGGGAATTACATTTCATTCAGATGCCCCACACTCAGCCTGCTGGTCTCAGTTGAACTGACGTGTCTGACAGAAAGTCAAGCCGCAGGTGTCAGCATTCTGCTGTCTTCCTTGTTATCTATTTAGTGATTAATCACCTTCAGCGTTTCAAAATAGGACAAAAAAAAATCTGACCAACTTCTAGGCTGTGATTCTTTTCACGACATCCTGTACAGGCTGAGCAGAGTTTATCACATTAAAATCATATTTGGGTTTTTTTTAAACTGGGTTTGACTGTGGATAGAGCCAAAGCCTGGCTCTGTTTCTGCTGCAACAGGGGGAAAATTTCTAAATCATGTATTCTGGTATTCTGATTACTCTTCTTTGGGACCATGGTGCCTTTTTAATCAGGACAGTAAATCTTGTCCCAGGATTCTGTACTTTTGTACGTTAACAGTTGTTGACTTTCCTTTTTGGTGTGTCCCAAATAAATTAATATAACAGAACTCTGGGCTTTTGTTTCTTCTTTCTAAAGGGGGAGGAAAGAGGAAACTGAAGCGAAAGTAAATGTTCTCTGCTTCAGCTCTCCTTCCCAGGCCCTTGCAGGAGCAGCTGGGATGCATGCAGGAGGAGCTGCTCCTGTGCAGACCGTGTGGGGCGGTGGTAGGGAAGCTGCCAGAAATGGGAATCTGGCACAGGGTCCCACTTGGAGCCCTTTTTTTCAAAGATACTGGAATCTGGAGCATCTGAAGGTAAGGGGAGAGGAATAAAATGTCTGCACATGGTTGCAGTGTTTCATGAGGACTCTGTGTGCCTCAGGCGTGGTGGGATTGGAATCACAGACAAAGGGGGGCCTCCTTGCCTTCCTGGTGTGATCCCATGCATGAGTGTTCCACTGCTGCCTGTTCTCTCCTGACTGTGGTTCAGGGATGTTGTTTGAGATGAGTGAGGAGCACTTGTGTCCAAGAGAGACACACAGAGATGATTTGCACCACGGGACTTCAGCAAGGAAGGGAAATTGGAAAGGAGGAAGTGCTGGAAGGGGCATGTTTGCATCAATGGATTTTGCAGGAGGAAATCAAAGTGCATCCCAGGGGCTACAAATACTTGTGCTGGATGATGAGTCACTGATTTTACTGGGTATTTGGGGAGAAACATTGTAATCCTTCACCCCTTGAGTCCTGGTTTCTACAAGGGGGAGCAACAGAAAGGAGGGGGCATCCTGAAAGCCCTGCACCCCAGCCTGGGGCCCTGACAGCCAGGCAGGGCACATGCCTGCTCCAGGCAAAAAATGCCTTTTTGCAGCCTTTACAAGTTCCTTAGAGCTGCCCAGGCCGGCCAGAGTGAGGCTGTACAGAAACACTTTCCTGATTTCCCAGCATGGATGTGCCTCTCCTGGCCACTGCTCTGCGTCCCCTCCCTCTCAGAAAGGGGAAGGAACACAAAAAACACAACCCAGAATGCAAATCATGGCACTACTGAGTGGGCTGGATGTGGAAAACAACATCTGTGACTCAGCACAGAAAGAGTCACAAAGCTGGAATTTAAAACAAGTCCAAGCTGAACTCTGTGGGCATATGGCTCATGGAGTGTTGGGCAGTGCCTCCCCAGGAGGGAGCTGGGTGGGCAGGGGGACGTGCCAGACAGTTTAACACAGGCTGACAGTGATAAATTGTGGCACTGCAGGTGGGATACTGGGAAAAAGTGATTCTGGGAAGAATGGGGCAGGCTTGTGAGGCTGTGTCACAGCTGTGCTTGTGCTCAGTGCCAGTGGCCAGGCTTGGGCACAGCTCCAGGAGGGGAGATGAACCTCCTGAGCCACCTGACATCCACGTTTGTTCCCCTGGGGGGATGCATGGCACACTGGTGGTGAAGCCATCCCCACTGTGGCAGAGCTGGGCACAGAAATCCTGGTGTGGGGCACAGGAACCCAGCATGACACCTGCCCTACCCCCAGCCTCTGGTTCTCACTGGCTCCACGGGAAAAATCCCCCTGAATGCTGAAAGGAGCTGCAGGGCGAGCCTTTCCAAGGGCAACCACATTAATTTATTAACCAGACACGTGCAAGGGTATTTCCTGCTCTCACCAAGGGTGTTGTCTTGTTATTCTTCCTGAGTTTCTTGACAGCAGATGCTTCCTCCTGGCACAGCTTTGGAGCCAGCAGATACTGCTCCATTCTTTTAAGACATAGCAATGAAAGTTCCTGATTCCCCTTGTGCTGCCAGCAGTGTCCCCTCTTGCACAGTGCTCTGGTCCTGCTCAGGTCTGGGTTTGCTCCAGGGCCTGGGGACAGCTGTGCACAGCCACAGCCCCCCTGGCACAGCCTGCTGGGCAGCCCACACACACCTCCAGAGGGAGGGACGCTAGAAATTGATCCTGGGGAAATCCAAACGTCTGGGAGTTGGGCTAGGAGCTGTTGAGCTTTCACTTTTCCAGCTACCTGGTACAGAGCAGCCAGGCCCCCAGACTTGGCTATGCCAGATACTTTCAAGGAGCCAGCTTTTCCCTGGCTCCAGGCTTTTTGCAGTTCCATACCCTCAGTTTTGGGAAGTGGGTATTGGCAGAGCTGTGGGCTGCACCTGCCCAGGTATTCCCTGCGTGTACTCGTGGCACTGCCATGGCTCTGGCAAGACATTTGCTTGTTCAGCATCCTCAGTTGTACCCCAACACACATTTTGTGGAGTTTCTTTGTATGTCAGCACTTCCTGCTGCCCCACAGAAGCTGCTTGCAGGAGACCAATTTGCTGAATTGGTCCAGTCTCCAGCAGCATTTCACATCTTTTTGCAGGCAAACATACCCCTAAATCACTCACATCTTGGCTCCTCTGTCTGTGGAATGCATTCATTATGTGAGCACCCAGACAGTTCCTCCTGCAGTATTTCTATCTTGAGATATACCACATTGTCTATGAGAGATGCTGGGAAGGGAAGTGGGCAGTGTGGGGGCAGGACACACTCTAAGACACCCTGACTATCTTGTTGCTGTCACACCCCCAGCTGCTGGGCTCTTACTTCCCACATGCTCCTGCAGCCGAGTTTCTGGATGAGAGAAGCAGCTACTGCGGAAAGTCCAGAAATTTTGGGAGACGCCTGGGTGACTGCAGATATGAGAGAGGTGGGGGTCCCTCGCCAGGACCTCACTGACCC